CCTCCGTCGTGTGTGTGTGTGTGTGTGTGTGTGTGTGTTGGAATTGGCGGGTGGGTAGTGCATGGTGTGGCTGCCTCTTTGGATGGGAAGCTTGAGAACAGGCATGCTTGGAACATGCACCAAGCACATACTGCTGAGACCAAGGTGAGGAGTTGAGAATAGGTATGCTTGGTGCATATCACAAACTCATAGCACTGTCACTGAGAAGGGGGAAAGGAAATACCTATTGAGGTGAATAGAACAGTTTTTATATGCCTCAGAGCTTTCTCCATGGGGTGTTCTCATTCAGCTGAGAACATCTCACTGAGATGAATGGGCCACTTCACATCTCTCTGAACTTCCTGTGCTGCAGATGGATGTATAGAGCCCATTCCCCACACACTAGGGTTTGTTTCTTTCTTCTCTCTCTCTCTCTCTCTCTCTCTCCTGCTTACAGCTGATATGGGCACTTCTCAGACACACTACCTTCCCACTTCCCTAGGGCCAGGGGCATGGAGAAGGGTGAAGTTGCTGTGTGGGGGAGGAGGGGAAAGGGCAATAGGGGGATGGGTTTCAAAGCAGCAGGACGTGAGGAGCTGAGGTCAGAACAATGGGTATGATGGAGGGAATGTTGGAGCAGTGGTAGGGAGTCTGAGCATTGTCTCAGGAGTATCTTGTGCCCTTCTAGAAAACAGAGTTCAGCAAAACTCTAACTTCTGAAAACCAGGGAATATAGAATTAATGTGCATGCCAGCACAACCTTAACTGTACTGCCCTGGAGCTGGCAGTAGCCAATGGGAATTATCTACATGCACTCGAGCTGTGTTCACTATGTTAAGTGTAGCTGTACTGAATGTTTGGAGGATTGGTTGGAGCAGTATGGCAGAGCTGTGATTGTGATGTGAGATCTGGGGACTTCGCCCCTCTCCTTGTCCAACTGTGTGTGTGAAGAAAGGAAAGAGGTGCATGTGTACCTATTGAGATCCAATATGCTCCTTTTAGCAGTGAGTTCGGAAGGCTGTGTTAGCTGTGCACTAGGGTCTTGTTGCTATGGGGATTGTCCACAGTGAGGCAGGATACGAGTGATCTGTGGGTTTAATGAGGGGGTAAGTGAAAGCATAGTGTTAAATGGCATCCTGTGCATAAGGGTGAAAGAGTTTGTAAAAGGGATTGAAATTGTAAAATTCAGCAGCAGGGGTATTTCTGTGGAGTGGGCTTAAATGTAGGTAGCTCCTGTTCAGTACAGTTCTGTCCTACACTGGTCATGTGCCTATTCCCTTAAGTGTCTGCAAAGGCAGTGTGCAAATATTTTGAGGGGGGAGGGATAGCTCAGTGGTTTGAGCATTGGCCTGCTAAACCCAGGGTTGTGAGTTCAATCCTTGAGGGGGCCACTTAGGGATCTGGGGCAAAATCAGTACTTGGTCCTGCTAGTGAAGGCAGGGGGCTGGACTCGATGACCTTTCAGGGTCCCTTCCAGTTCTAGGAGATAGGTATATCTCCATATATTATTATTATTATTATTATGTGCATTATGAATGTATTTGGTCATTGCTCAGAGTGTAGAGTTACGGTTGTATTGGCATATATGTTAATTCTGTATTTCCTGGTTTTTAGAGGTTTGGGTTTTGCTGACTTCAACGTTCTGGAAAGGCACGTGGTACCACTGGGTAATCTTGACTCTGTTAATTAAGTTTTTTGTCAATGAATACATACACAGGAAAGAGGATCAGAATAAATTATTGTGCTATGACACTAGCTTGCCAGAACTTCCACAGACAACAGTGCATATACAGTGAGCCTCTGATGTATGCAGTAGATAGTGAAAAGTTTTGAGAGTTAAGTCTGGTTTTAAAAAGTCCATTTCTTTAAACTGTCAGTTTAATATTAACAGCATTATTTTTATACTTCCTTTTCCATTCAGGTTTAAAAAACGAATGCTGATAGAACAGCTTGAGGGTTTTCTGGAAGAAATCCATCGCAGATCCAACCAAGTCAACCATATCAACAGCAGCTAAGAGATGTTTTACACATAGAAAAGCCACAGTAGGGCACAGCTGTATTACCTGCATTCATTTTTGACATGCACTCTTGGCTCAAGTCCCCATCTGAAAGACTAAAAGCTGCTCTCTAGTATGATGGAAAAAGTATACGTAATCTTTTTCTTCATTTCTGTTATTTTTGTAATGTGAAAAATATCACTAAAAGCATTTTTATTTAACAAACTAAAAATAGAGAATTTCTTGCTTGTCATTGACTTAAATGTCACTTTCCCTCAGGTTCTATTTTCTTAACCCAACCTTCAAAACTTATCATCTCTGTTAAGGTTGAACTTTGCCAAAAAAAAAAAAGAAAAGAAAAAAAAAGTTGCTTTGTAATTTTCAAAAAAAGCACATACATTAAACAAGGTAATGTTTTGTATATACAGTTATTTTGGATATATTATTGTAAGTTGTACAAATGTATTTTGAAAAATATTTAAGAAAAGCACTTTTGTTATTCCATCAATAAAAAAAACCCTCTATTTTAATCTTTGGTGGTTAGGAATGAGTACGGTTTTCATTGAAGTGGCTCATTTCTCTCCTCCCCTTTTTAGATCTACGCAGTTTTATTGTAATTTTTTTTAGGAACCAGCTACAATTTTAAGCCTCATTGGAAATGCTGATTCTTTGGTTCTCCGAATAAGATATAAATTACGAAAAGAAATTAAGAAAGCTGCTATTTGACTGCATTGTTATGGTGATAAGTTGGCATAGCATCATGTATTCTAAGTCTTATTTTTACTCAACAGCATCACAGATCTTATGTACGGTATGCACACCAGAAAAATGGCAAAATGTGGGCTTATTTAAGTTTTCTTTGAGATTTAACAATCTTTCCAATTACGCCAACCTCATCCCTTGCTCCTTAACGAGGCTGCTTGTGTGCCTAACCCTCTCTCCCTTCCCCGGCCCTGCACTGTAAAGTAAAAGACTTTTTTTTTAATGTAAAGTCTGCATTGGAAGTGGTGTATATGGTGGTACTGATTCACTTGTTTAGGTGAGTAGACACACTCAGGCTATGTTTACTGCAAGTGAAGATGTGAGTGGAGCACGGGTATGCCTACCTGTGCTGTTAGCTTTAATTTAGTTAGACCGGGTGACAACAGTAGTGTCGACATGGTGGCTCAGATTAGCAACCCAAGTCCATAGTCAAGAGTCCCCAGTGGGCTGGTACTCTGCTGTCCTGGTGCCAATTCCTTAACAGACTGTCTCTCAGCTGGATTATTTCTTATGGCTGCACTTCAGCTGCTTGTTTACCTCACCACTTCAGCTTGGTAATGTAACTGATTCTGGAACCTAATTCAGTTTTTAATTTTTTGTTTAAAACTTCAGTTTCAGGAGCAGAAAATAAACCACCACTTGAAAAATAGCAGATAATCTAAAGCTTCATGGTGGGTTGGTATTGCCTCCTCTCAGCTGACTCAGTCTTGTGAGCAAAGAACGCAAATAACTGTAATACAGTCTGTTGGTTTTAGCCAGTCTCCTGTTACCTTGTGATACCAACCATTTTTTAAAAAGAGTAAAAGATGCTTTTATACAGCTACAAAATAAAAGCACTCTACACAAAATGCAAAAGTAATACATTTTATTTACAAAGTTATTTGGTTAACATTTATCTGCTCTTCCTTGTGGATTTTTTGCAAAATAATTTTAAGTATCCAGTTTTTAATAAATATGTACAGTGTGCCTCAATTTCATTGAAGGAAAGATGGCTGCAGGAGGAATAAGGGGAGGGTGCATTGGACACACTTATTCTGAAGGATTTGTAACTCTTCCTATAAAAAGCACTGAGCCTGTGAATTAAAATAAACACTTCATTAAAATTGCACACACAGTCAATCAAAAAGTGTATGCATGTAATTGTGTACCTAATTTGTACATGCAACTGGTAGGTTAACTGTCAGACGGTCACATACATGAAAATACTGGTTTTGTGGGTCCAATTGCAGTAACTTGCATTTTTAAAAGTCTGTGAAATCAGTTAAGGGCCAGGTTAATTTGTTAATTTTGCAGATTAGATTCAGTTGCTTATTAAAGGGTTGGCAGCTGAACAAGGAGCTTCCTTATCTTATCTTCCTAGCCTTTGGCCTAAATCTTGGCCAAAATGAAAATGTCTTTGAACTTGACCAAGTAGTAATGGGTCAGATTCATTCCTATGTATATGTTCTAGAGTTACAGCAGAGATGAATTTGGCCCATTGGCTTACTGCCTCATTAGATTCAGTAATTAACCTATGCTTTAAATCACTTAAGATATCATCCCATTTCAGTTTATCAGCTTGTCTTTTTTCTCTAGACAGAGATGTTCTGAAGTTGAATTTCAGAGAGAAAAGTGATGCTCTTAATTGTATCATACTTGGGCCAGAGGCTATATTTTCCACAGTATGTGGAAAGTGCCTAGCACATTGCAGAATATAAATATTGGGGGGAGAGTTCCTGGGCTTTTGTTCTGTAGTGAGACCTATTGTTAACTTGCAGGTGGTAGGAGTTTGGAGCTTACTGCCCCCCAAATAAGCCAAACATTAAACATCAGTATTTTTAATAGTAGCTTTATTTATTCTTTTCCCCTCCCCAAAGACAGACTTCTACCAAAAGTAATTGTATATTTTTACACTTTTTTGATGATAAATAGAAGAAAAAAAAGTGATTTGCTATGCTATGACTGTTTCTGATTCTATTCTGATTAGAATGCTGTTTGGTGTTTTCTTCATTAATTTTTTTTTTTTTTTTTTTTTTTTAAGAGAGATATCCCATCTCCTAGAAATGGAAGGGACCTTGAAAGGGTATCGAGTCCAGCCCCCTCCCCTCTCTCG